CGGCTCTGTGAAGAGATCTCCCTGACAGCTCTGGCCCACAGCATGAAGCATATGCCCACTACAGACCCTTCCCAGCAACTCCACCCCAGTGTGAGGCAGTTTGATTCCTTGGGTCTCTCTCTCAAAAAAAAAAAAAAACCAAGGTCAGTCATGCTTCTTCAGTGCAATGATTTCAGATTTTCCTCTGCCTTAAGGCAGGCTCCTCAAGCTTCCTCTTACCTAGTCATCAGCAAAGACGCTGGATTTTGGACAGAGCACCAGAAATTCCACAGTACCTTTGCTTCGCAGTTTAAGGGAACTCTAAGGCTTTCATTCCTCAAGAATGAAACAATGGCTCTTGGAGTTAGAAAAGAGATGCTGAGATTGGGTTAGGCTTCAAGTCAACTAAGTAGAAAAGTAAATTAAAATCAAGAAGGGAATGTCACAAAAATTACAGCACAACACATAGGTATCTTAGATCATTTCTCAAACCTTGGAATTCTTAAAATTATTTGAGAAGTCTAATAAATATTCAGATTCCCTGGTCCCACTCCCAGACATTCTGTATCAAGTGTAAGGTGGGTCCTGCAATATGCGTTTTTAATAAGGTCTCTGGGTAATTCTGGTCCAAATAGCGCATACATCCTAGTTTGAGAAAGAGTCTTAGAACTTTTAAGGAGAAAGGCTAATTGGAAGGATTCATCTCAGAGCACTTGAGCAGTAAAAAAACAGAAAAGCAATGTGTTGCAGATAAGTACCTAGGGCCCACAATTGATGTGTACATCTGATGTACCGATAATTTAGCAGGAGAATCATATCCTAATATGAATATGGCATGGTGGAACTGCTGAGGAGGAAAAGCACCTATGGATCTTATGCAGGCATTTTCCACTCCATAGGGGAGTGAGAGAAGTCAGCACAACAACAGTTAAAAACATCATGTTTACGTCAGGTTTTCTTTTTTTTGTTTTGTAGAGATGAGGTCTCACTATGTTGCCCAGGCTGGCACTGAACTCCTGCCTCAGCCTCCCAAAGTGCTGAGATCACAGGTGTGAGCCACTGTGCCCGGCCGTCATCATGTTTTTAAAGGGTGAGAAGGTGGCAGCTCTGACGCAGCAGAAAGACCTGGGATTTAGAATCCAATCCTGACGCTGACATTTGTTGGGTGTGCAATAGTCACTTTGCTGCTGTAGCTTCCAAACTCTAAATGGAGGCTACAACCTACCTATCTCAAGGCATGGTTGTTAAGAGAGAATGATCATAACATACTTTAATAAAGCCCTCTGTAAACTATAACATATCAAACAAAAACCAATACTATTATAAAAAACTGGAGGTTACTTTCTTAAACACTAATTACAAGATTTTTGTAAGCATCCTGCTGAAAAGTTGGTAAGAATGGTAAGTTCAGTGTCACAAAGCCCAGCATCAAGCCAGAAGGGGGCGGGACACAGCTGACTTGTTTTGCCAGAGCTTCTGTTTGTTCATCTATATGGTCTCTTGGAAAGGAAAAAGGTGGATGGGTTATTAGCTATGTTAGGTCAAGGAAAAGCATTTGAGCATACAGATCACAATTCTTTTTTTCTTTTCTTGCTTCTGTGTATTGATTCAAATTTTTTCATTAATATCCTGCTGATCAAGGTGTCACACTAGTTGATGGGTGGATCCTTATACGTCATAAGAGAAAACCATCGGATCACTTTTTAGTTTCACAATGTACATGATGACATTTATGTGACTAGCATTCCATTGCGTAGAGAATTAAAATGGCAATCAATGATGCATGTCCCATAGAGCTTCTTTTTTTTTTTTTTTGAGACGGAGTCTCGCTCCGTCACCCAGACTGGAGTACAGTGGTGCGGTCTCGGCTCACTGCAAGCTCCGCCTCCTGGGTTCATGCCATTCTCCTGCCTTAGCCTCCCAAGTAGCTGGCACCCGCCAGTGCCATACTACAGGCACCCGCCACCATGCCCGGCTAATTTTTTGTATTTTTAGTAGAGACGGGGTTTCACTGTGTTAGCCAGGATGGTCTCGATCTCCTAACCTCATGATCCACCTGCCTCCGCCTCCCAAAGTGCTGGGATTACAGGCGTGAGCCACCACGCCCGGCCCATAGGGCTTCTTAAAAGGAAATACACCTCATGTGAAAAAAGTACAGTCTAGTCTGAAAAGGTTATATAGGCTACACCCTAGCACATCATGTACAGGTACAGAAAAACAAGGGAAATGAGCAAAGAAAGTGGGCAGGGCAGCGGGGTGGAGCAGGAATCCAAATTCACATGTAATGTGATTAAAGTGAAGAATTCTTGCTCACTTTAGAGGGGAATATGATGTAAAAAGAAACTAAGAAATGATAGTAGTGTGAAAATAATTTGAACATTACTACAAGAAAGCGAGATATATGTGATTAAGCAGTTATTTCTAAGGTCAATTTCCTTATGCATTAATTATACAGTTCCCACTATTAAAGTAAGCAGAGCTGAATATTAAGGAAAAAAAAGATATTTTTAAGATGCTTCAGGAAATTGAAGAATAGAAGTCATATGTGATGTTGTACAGAACAAATTGAATTATAGCTAATATGAAACTCCAAGGCAGGAAAAATAGCATTTGGCCAAGAGAAGGGGCCAGGGAACAGGTGACAGATAGCAAGCACTGGCCTCTGAGGGGCCACAGCAACAGGCTTTTCACATTAGCTGTTGAAGACACAGGGCAGGGATGGAGGGCACCTACTGCTCTAAACAAAACCATGAATGAGGAGTTCTGTGCAAAGAAAAAGAGAATGAGGAGAAAAGAACTATGATCCTAGGACAGCAGAAAAGCTGAAGTCCAATTACAATGGAAAGAGTAAGTCATCAACAGTGCATATGTAAAAACAAGAGGATCCAAGAGGCAATGGGAAGACAATAAAATATACTGTACTAAATTCTTCAGAAAATGATATGCCTTTTCTTTTTCTTTAAGCAGGTAAATAAAATGATATGTTAATGTTAGCAGAAACTGAGTTACTCTGGTTGCAGAGAAACAATTCTGAATATGCAAATGTAATGAGTACATAACAAATTACTGTAAAACTCAAATGTGATAATGTATGTGAAACCGTCTGTTATGTGTTAAGTCCTTTGCATCTGGCAGGCAGTGTGGCTGTGGAGGATGACACCAGGTCCCTGTACCTACAGAGACATTTAATAGCTTTGCAAGCCAACCAGTTTCAATGATCTACCCAGGAAATCCTGGCAAATGTTGCTAACAAAAACTTGACTAATAGAATTGCTTGATTTGAGTTGTAAGGCATTTTTGATGTACCTGTCTACCTGCTTTGGCAGATGTGCTCATAAGCCAAGGAGTGGTCACTAAGTGGAACGGAGGAAGCAGAGCCCACGAAGAATCGATCAACTGGTGGATTAGCGCTCGGACAATATCTGACTATATTGGCAAAGTGATTGGATACTTCATAGTGAACAATATTTTGACTTCATGTACCTAGCACTTAATTACTGAAAGTACATACTTACCTATTTAAGAATGTAAATGAGTTACTACTAGGAAGAAGTTTTAGGTCATTGGAGACCATTGGAAGATAAAATTATGAGTTGTTGGTTAAAATGAAAAGGAAATGGTATCTACACAAAAGTATGGGAGGAAGAAATATCACAGTCCTTGCTTATCTGGAGTTTCACTTTCTGTATTTTCTGTTACACCTAGTCAACCACAGTCCAAAAATATTAAATGGAAAATTCCAGAAAGAAACAATTCTTAATTCTTAAGTTGTACACTGTTCTCAGCAGCATGATGAAATCTCATGCTGTCCCAATCTATCCCACCTAGGACACAAATCTTCCCTTTGTCCAGTGTATCCATACTGTATATGCTACTGGCCCGTTAATCACTTAGTAGCTAACTTGGTTATTAGTGCTTGTGTTCAAGTAACCCTTATTTAAAAACGACCCCAAAATGCAAGAGTAGTGATGCTGGCAATTCAGATACGCCAAAGAGGAGCCATAAAGAACTTCCTTGAAGCGAGACAGTAAAAGTTCTCAGCTTAATAACAAAACAAAACAAACTGTATGCTGAAGTTGCTAAGACCTACAGTAGGAACAAATCTTCTATCTGTGAAATTGTGAAGAAGGAAAAATAAATTTGTGCTAGTTTTGCTGGTGAACCTCAGACTGCAAAAGTTGCGGCCACAGGGCATGATAAATGCTTAGTAAATATGTAAAAGGCATTATTACATTTGTGGGTGGAAGACATAAACAGAAACGTATTTCAGCAGCAATTGGGTTGTGTGCTATCCACGGTTTCTGGTATCCAGTGGGGGTTTTGGAGTGTATTCCCCTTGAATAAGAGGGAACTACTGTATAGGTTTAAAATGATGACTTGGGCCAGGTGTGGTGGCTCATGCCTGAAATCTTAGAATTTTGGGAGACTGAGGCAGACAGATTGCTTGAGCTCAGGAGTTTGAGAGCAGCCTGGGCAACATGATAAAACCCCGTCTCTACAAAAAGTACAAAAAAATTAGCTGGACGGGGTGGCACATGCCTGTGGTCCCAGCTACTTAGGAGGCTGAGATGGAAGGATTGCTCAAGTCTGGGAGGCTGAGGCTGCAGTGAGCCGTGATTGCACCACTGCACTCCAGCCAGGGTGACAGAGCAAGAGGCCGTCTCAAAAACAAAACAAAAATGCAGATGCCCAGAGTTTAGTGTGCTAGATACGAACAAGATATCAGAAAAATATAACTGAGTTTCAGACCACATCCACACCATCTGAACCTCCATGAGAACTCGGATTATAGGACTTCACCATTTAATCAGTCTTCTCTTTAACAACACTGCATATCTGGGGTATGTTTTCCACTATTAACCCAGTTCCTACAGTGAATGTGAGCTTTATCTCAGCTATATTGATATGACCTGGAACTCTCACCTGGAACTCCTTAGCCATAACAAACATGTGAATCAGAAAAGCTGACTAGTGTTTGTTAGTGTTGACATTATTTTATTTTAGTCTATATAAACACTTACCTCTTTGACGCTATGTGTTACTGCCCATATTAGAAAAACTCTTGACATCACCTGGAAAGAAGTCAGGACAACAGAAGATGGAACAATTCCTGAAAGAAATTTTAGGATGGACAAATAAATGTATTGTACTAAGTTTCAATATATAATACATTTTCTAAAACATTACAATTTAAATGTTTAGAGCCAAAATGATCTTGAATAACTGAAAGGTGTGTCTATATTGCTATACAGACTAAGTTTTCAATGTAGTCAGTATTAAAACAAAGTTTTCTCTCTAAAACCAATAATATTTTTAATGGTATTACAAAACCATGGGATCCAGGTGCCTTTCTTAACCCTCTCAGAAACCACTGACCAAGTACAGTATTTTTTACACTTACTGTATAGACAGAGAAAGCAAAAGCACTACCTAATCTTTAAAATAAGACTCATTTTACAATATGGGTTTCAAAACAAATAGGCAACAAAGGATGAGAAATCAATCCTATTTGTGTCTAATGAGTGCTGGAAGCTCATGGACATCAGACTTGATACACTATGTAATGGTTAAGTTAGGTAGCTTTTATATATTTTGCCAACAAGCATAACAATATAAAAGATTTTTTTTTTTTTTTTTTTTTTGTATATGAGGGGGCCTCCCCTTTTCCCGCCCGGGGGGGGGGGGGGGGATCTCCCCTCACTACAAGCTCCTCCTTCCAGGTTTACGCCATTCTCCTGCCTCAGCCTCCTGAGTAGCTGGGACTACGGGCGCCCGCCACCTCGCCCGGCTAGTTTTTTGTATTTTTTAGTAGAGACAGGGTTTCACCGTGTTAGCCAGGATGGTCTTGATCTCCTGACCTCGTGATTCGCCTGTCTCGGCCTCCCAAAGTGCTGGGATTACAGGCTTGAGCCACCGCGCCCGGCCTAAAAGACTATTTTTTAAATATTTTTTTAATTTTTAAAATCACCTTGTTCATTACAAGCCCTGGCACAATTATCCTCCCAATGTCCTCGGGTTATAACACTGGAATCATCTTTGATTATTTTATTTATTTGTTTTTTGAGACAGAGTCTCACTCTGTCACCCAGACTGGTATGCAGTGGTGCAATCTCGGCTCACTGCAACCTCCACCTCCCAGGTTCAAGTGATTCTTGTGCCTCAGTCTCCCAAGAAGCCAGGACTACGGGCACATGCCACCATGGCCGGCTAAGTTTTTGTATTTTTGGTAGATGGGGTTTCACCATGTTGGCTGGGCTGGTCTTGAACTCCTGACCTCAGGTGATCCACCCGCTTCAGCCTCCCAAAGTGCTGGGATTACAGGTGTGAGCCACTGCTCCTCACCATGGTAGCGTACACCTCTAGTCCTATATCCAGGGAGGCTAAGACAAGAGGATTGCTTGAGTTTGGGAGGTTGAGGCTGCAGTGAGCTGTGATCATGCCTGCAATCCAGCCTGGGTGACAGAATGAGGTCCTGTCTCAAAATAAATAAATGAGTAAAAGTAAATAAATATGCAAATAAATGTATAAATGAATTACAAAACCTGGTTATATAATTGTGTAATACAGCTAACAAAGCTAATCAGTAAGTCAAACATTTAGTGACTATATTTAGCCAGATCACACTTAGATGGGACAATATGCAGCTGTGGATTTCCTCTAGAAACCAATCTTTTTTAAAAAAAAAAAAAAAAAATATATATATATATATATTGAAGATCGAAAGCTCATATACTGCAAAACAAGGCTTATGTTTTAAGCCATTCTTGTAAAATAATGTTTAATGGCAGAATTGTACTCTTCCATATTTCTATTATAACAGACCTATTCTGAAAATTATATTTGGCTTATTAACATGTTAAGTTTCATTTTGCTGGGAGAGGGGGATTAATGAGGTTGAAGCAATAACTACCTAGGCACCTGTAAGGAAAGCACCCATATAGAGGGAGCCTTTGATTTCTTTGATTTCAAACAACAACAACAAAAAAAGTAAAAATAAAAGAACTGAGAATTAAAGGATTTCTTTTTTTTTTTTCTTTAAAAAAAGAGACCAGGTCACCCAGGTTAGAGTACATGACGCCATCATATCTCTTACTGCAGCCTCACACTCCTGGGCTCAGGCCATCCTCTCGCCTCAGCGTCCCAAGTAGCTGGGACCACAGTTGCGCCATCATGCCCAGGTAATTTTTTAAAGGTTTTGTAGAGACAAGGTCTTGCTATGTTGCCCAGGCTGGTTTTGAATACCTAGGCTCACACAATTCTCCTGCCTTGGCCTCCCAGAATGCTAAGATTACAGGCATGAGCCACCATGCCCAGCCAAGAGTAACTTTTTGTTTGTTTATTTTTAAATAGAGTTTCGCTCCTGTTGCCCAGGCTGGAGTGCAATGGTGCGATTTTAGCTCACTGCAATCTCTGCCTCCCGGGTTCAAGTGATTCTCCTACCTCAGCCTCCCGAGTAGCTGGGATTATAGGCACGCACCACCATGCCCAGTTCATTTTTGTGTTTTTAGCAGAGACGGGGTTTCACCATGTTGGCCAGGATGGTCTCGATCTCTTAACCTCGTGATCCACCCACCTCAGCCTCCCAAAGTGCTGGGATTACAGGTGCTAAGAGTAACTTTAAACAAATGGAACTAGAAGGTCTAGGGGCAAAAACTGCAATTCAGCTGAACATAGGTTTATTAATTATTCCCTCTCTACTATAAATCACCCTTCTCTAGGGAATATAAATTTGTATTTGTCTCCCTTTCAAAAATGCCATACATAAATTAACAGTGTTTTTCTTTTCTTTTTTTCTTTTTTTATGAGACAGTCTCGTTCTGTTGCCCAGGCTGGAGTGCAGTGGCATGACCTTGGCTCGCTGCAACCTCTGCCTCCCAGGTTTAAGCAATTCTTGTGCCTCAGCCTCCTAAGTAGCAGGGATTACAGGCATGTACCACCATGCCTGGCTAATTTTTATAATTTTGTTAGAAGCGGAGTTTCACTATATTGGCCAGGCTGGTCTTGAACTACTAACCTCAGGTCATCCACCCGCCTTGGCCTCCCAAAGTACTGGGATTACAGGTGTGAGTGAGCCACACCTGGCCAACAGTGTTTTTCTTAAAAATGCTTTAGTATCCACACACACACACAAAATATTTATTATTTAGTGTATTTCTCACCAGCCTTCTAAGTATATTTTAAAACAGTTTAACTTCTACTGTTTATATTGTCTTTTGCTTTTCTCATTTAACATTTTAAGAATTTTCTATCTTCTCTTCTTCAAAAGATTTTAGCTTAAATCATGATATTCCTTTGAGTGAATATGTTTGTTTATTCTCCTTCTGTGGGACATTTAAATTGCCTCGAATTTCTTGATACTATAAATGAAGTAATGAAGCATTACAAATAACACTCAAAATTTGAGGCTTAGACCTTTTTTTAAAAAAAGGATTATTTCCTTGGGACATTTTCCCAGAAGTAGAAGTACTAGGTCAAATGGCATGAATGTTTTTAAGGCTCTTGAAATATATTGCCAAATTGCTTTCCAAGAAGTTTATTATCAATTTATACTTCTACCAGCAATATACAAAAGTGCCTATCTTAGCACGCCCTTGGCAGTAAATTTAAATCTTAATACGTAATGAACAAAAAGCTCATCATACTTTCTAATTGACGTAGACATCAAGATGTTTCTGGTCTTGCCTGCAGGTGCTCCTACCATCTCTATCCAGTGAACTTGCCTACTTAGACACCTTAATTTCCCCCAAATCATGTCATTCAGACCAACTCTCACTTAGTTTCTCTGTAGCATAGACAACTACTTCAACCAGTCACCCAGCAAACAGCAGTTCAGGCCCTCATGTGACAGCACAATCTGAAAATGCCTGCTCTAACGGACCAGACAAAAGGCCAAGAGCTCTATCCTTAAAATTAAGCTAAAGAACAGAAGGTCACATAGACGGGCCATTATTATCTTAGCTCTGAATAGAAATGGCATCACCAGCTTGGGCTTATCATTATCATCAGGTGAATTTCATAAGAAAATGTCAAAAAAAGGCCGGGTGTAATGGCTCATGCCTGTAATCCCAGCACTTTGGGGGCCTGAGGTGGGCGGATCACCTGAGGTCTGGGGTTTGAGACCAACCTGGCCAACATGGTGAAACTCCGTCTCTACTAAAAATACAAAAATTAGCAGGGCATGATGGCAGGCGCCTATAATCCCAGCTACTTCAGAGGCTGAGGAAGGAGATCTCTTGAACCCGGGAGGCGGAGTTTGCAGTGAGCCAAAAATGCACCACTGCACTCCAGCCTGGGTGACAGAGTAAGACTCCGTCTCAAAAAAAAAAAAAAAAAAAAAAAACACTGTCAAAAAGTATTTATATTATCTTATTTGCCATAGGAATATTATACAGTATAATGTCCACCCTATCACTCAAACCTCTCATACAGGTAGGAAATTTGTTTTAGAGCTCAATGTTAAGAAATGTTTGCTCCTTTCCAATAAGCATTATATAACTCAGTCACCCTCTTTAACTTGGTAGCCAGGAACTTTCATGCCAGATTTGAAGCATACTATACTGTGATATTTTGTGTATGAGCTACCACAAATCCTTGTAGAATGTGGAATATAGATAGACAAGACAGACTAGATTCTCTTTTTTTTTTTTTTAATTAGACAGGGTCTCACTCTGTTGCCCAGACTAGAGTACAGTGGCACAATCATAGTTCACTACGGCCTCAACCTCCTGGGCTCAAGCAATTCTCCTGCCTCAGACTCCCAAGTAGCTGGGACTACAGGCATGTGCTACCACGCCCAGCTAATTTTTGTATTTTTAGCAGAGACAGGGTTTCACCATGATGCCCAGGCTGGACTCGAACTCCTAAGCTCAAGAGATCTGCCCGCCTCAGCATCCCAAAGTGCTGGGATTACAGGCATGTGCCTGGCAGATAGATCCTCCTTCTTTCTGGCACTTCTTGCAGTCAATCCCACTGTTTTTGCATTTATATGCCATTACTTCTTATTTGAACACAATGGCATAGCATGTTAAAACCCAAATACAGACATTTTTGTTGTTGGCTATTTAAATTGGTTGTTTACAGATGACAGAGAGATTCTGGAATCTTACTAGT